AGCAACAAATTTCACTACCGTCTGCTTTAAACCGATCTCCTATCAGCTTCCTCCAGTTTCCCTCACGCTGATGTTGCAATATTTGCGAGCAGCTCTTCCGCACGGCTGCTGTTGCCAAAGCTTTGTAAACCTCCAGCGTGTCCTTTCTCAGCCACCTCCTCTGCAGAGCCCCAGCCTGCCTCCTTGCTCCCTGTAAGACCACCTTAAGACCGTCCCCTTGATCATTTCAGTTGCCCTTGCCTGTGTCTCCTCTAGCTCTGCTTTCTGTATCAAGGGTATATACCAACAACGTCTGCTTTAGCCACAGGCGTGAGGTGTAGATCAGTTCAGCCCTAGGTACTATTTTTAAAGTCCCTTTTATTTTTGCCATGACTCCTCTTCGATATTAATTGATTTTTAATCTTAATAAAACCAATCTTTATTCTTTGCCTTTTGACACTTTAATCTAAACCCAGACGCTCTTGCCCCTTAAAAATAAGCAGAGGACAAAGTAAACCAGAGAACTGTAGTTAATTATAAATCATTAATGAAAGCTGATAAAAGCCCCTGTGCACAACGTTACCCTCGTGGCTTTGCAACTATTTCTTGGGCAAATCCTACGTTGGTATCAGCCAGGCAACAGTGTCAATGGGAATTTCGCCCGATCGCTAGCAGCATGATTGAGATTATTGAGGAATAAATAAAATGTCAGGGAAAGCCCTTCTTAAACATTCAACCAACATTCGTTAACACAGCCCAGCCGTGGTGAGCAGACGGCAGCGTTATGCCGTGCGAAGCTGCTGTGTGTTGGAGCAGGCTTGTGGGGTGGACCATAATATCACACTGCCTGAGCGTTTTCTGAGCAGCAGAGGAGTAAACAATACCTCTAATGCGAAATCAGAGGTAAAATGAATTAGGTGGTGATAACCCTTTAAAAAGAAAAGGTATTTTGTGAGTTTCTGTGCAAAGACCGTTTGAGCTCTAAGCTTCATAATCAGCTTGGAAAATAGTTTAACCCGCAGGAATCTTTGTGACTTGCTTCTGTCTTCCCCAATTTGCAAGGTCAACTATCAAAACAGATATCGTTTGAAGAGCTCTGAATGCCAGGTAGTAAGCATAATTTACAAATTGTTTCCCATTCCTAAAGGCACTGCTATTGCATCATTTTTAGGCCATGTTTAAAAATATGGAATAAACCAGTTAATTTAAACAAAAATGGGGAAAAAAAGGGGAGGGAGGACTTTTCAGATAATCCACTTACTGTGTCTTTGTTGTGCCTATCCTCATAATACCCCTGAGTCCCAGTTGCTGGATTTAACTGCAACAGTTATTAATTTCCAGAGGAGCAGCTTTCACCGTTTGTATGCCCACCAGGAGTGCCCTGTTCTGGCGCCTGTGAAGCCCTGCGGCAAAGCTCGCACCTCCTCAAGGGCAAAACCCTCACGGCTGCTCCCTGTGTGAGCCTGGGGGGAAGGTAAAGAAAAGGAGAGAGAGAAAGAAGAGAAAGAGAGAAAGAAAGAGAGGAAGAGAGAAAGGTGAGAAAAGAGAAAGAAGAAAGAGGAGAAAGAAAGGAGAGAAAGAAGAGAAAGAGAGACAGGGTTTATCTTCATCGAGGGTCTAGATAGATGCAGAGAGACCTCCCTTGGACAATGTGCTACAGGTCAGCATTTTGGACCTAGGTCAGTGGAAACCCTCAAGCCCTAAAGCACTGCTCAGCTTCAGTGTTGCATCCCCACAATTATTCCCTTGTATCCAACAGGAAAGAAGAAATTAGGCCAAAATGGCAACCGAATTGATTCCTGATGTAACTCAGTCGTTGGATTTTCTGCTAAGGGTAAGACTCCAGGGAATCACAGCCCAAACGTCACAGATGAGCTTATGAGGTGCATAAACTCTTACCTTCCCACTCTCCTGGCTCTTCTGGCACTGCGCTTTGTTCAGGAGCATTGTGGGGTTTTGGGCTGGCATTAATCTCTACACAGCTGAGATGATACAAGCTGCCAGCAACTTGCTCTAGTACCTCTCCCTGAATTTGTCACCTCTCAGGAGGAACCCCCCGCCCCAATTTCCTGTCGTCTGTAACTATCGGTCTGGCCCAATCCTTGTGCCTCATCAGGAGTGGATCTATGGAAGTTTTTGTGGAAATTGCACCAAAATGTTAGGAAGCATGCCAAGAATACGACACATACCTTTTCTCACCCCTGTTGGGAAGCAAATCAGACACTGGGGGACGCAAGAATGCAGTAATCTCAACTAGAGGGAGTTACACGTTTGAGGGCACCCAAGAAGAGGTTAAAACATGGGACCTTTCTTCCTTGTACGGTGATGTTAGACATGTTGTACAGCTCAACTCCTGCACGGTTCTGGGCAACTGCTAGTTTTATTCCCATAAAAACCAACATGCAAATCTGAAGAAGACAGGTCCATTGTGGCCCAAGGATGCACCATTGGGCCATCAGTTTGAGTCTGGCTTCTCTGCCAGGAATAAATAAAACAGCAGCAATAAAAAGTGCCAGCGAGAAGGGCAGTGGTGTTTGCAGGGAACTCGGTGCAGGCACCTTCCCTCCCATGGTGTATTTCTCTTCATGAGAATCTTTTTGGTTCATAGGTTGGTCACACGCAACTTTTGCTGACTGGAATGGATTGAACGGACCATCTTGTGTCACAAGACACACACAGAAGAAGAACATTTCTAAAAATAGCTGGGCCGAAGGCAAAGGCTCCTGTGTGACACTGCCTGCAGAGTGGACCAGGGGCAGAACAAAGGCAGGGATCTGCCTGGCCACCCAACACCACCGAACAGCCTGCGGTGGATCCCAGCTACACGCGCAGGGCAGATCCTGCTGCCTTTCTCATGCCTGTAGCTTTTCCACAGCTACAGGTGCTTCTGAAGCTCTTACAAAGAGCTATTTTGTTAGCAATGACCATTTCAATGAAATATGCCATGCAAACCTGTTATCTTCTCTCTTTCTCACCTATACACACTAAGAGCCTTCTTCCTTTGTTGGTTTGATGATCCAGATATGCTAGACTTATATAATGTCACATTGCATTTTTTTTGAAACTAATATAGCTATAAAACTGGCAAATCATTGGACATCCATCACGTTCTTATCGGACTTGTTTGGCAACGGCGTGAGCTGAAGAACTTCCCAGTGCTGTGTTGGATCGCCGTTGTTGTAGAAAACATTTGTTGAAACTTAGTGCTAGCAGCTTAAACATGAACAGCTGGCGTAGACAAAGCCTATAGATTATGGTACATGAACTGTAACAACCATATTGCAACATGCCGAATAGCTAACTAGAGAACTGACCTAAGGGGATGTGAAACAGGCTATAGAACCACTGTATATTGTATAAGGAGATGACCACTTAGCAACCGCTGAGTAACGAAACAGCAAGCAAACCAAACCAAGAAAAAGCAAGAAGGCCCCAGAGCTTAATATTACTATTGGCCCGAACTGTTGTGTGAGAGGTGGGGAACGCCGATTGTAAGGGTGTAATTGCCCAGGGATTTCTTTGTTTGGGGGCACCCAGCTCGAGCCGTAGTGCTATTAATAAAAGGACTGTATAGAAGAATCTCTTTTTGACTTATTGACTCAGTGGAAACCTGGAGTTGAACCCTGTTGTAGTGGCTGGCACGCACAATTTCCATAACAGTTTGGTGACCCAGATGGGACTCGAGGCAACCACCATTGGATGTGAGACCCTCTCATCTCCAAACGTCCAGCTGCTGGCGTTGGGTGAGTTCACCTGGGAATTTTGGGGATGGGAGGCACTGACTGGTGAGTGTTAAAATTCTGCTGCTAAATTCTGGATATTCTGTGCTCAAGTGTGTTCAAGTCCCAGCTTGGAAGGGTGCTAGGAGAGGTGTGTATGGCCCAATCAGCGTAAGGTGCACGAATATGGTGTACAGCGTGCTAGGAGAAGTGTGTATGGCCCGATCAGCGTAAGGTGCACGAATATGGTGTACAGATATGGGGAACGTACCCAGCATAGAGAAGGGGACGCCCTTAGCTGAGGTACTAGAAAATTGGAGGAAAATAGATGGCACTGCAAGTCTACCAAAAAACCAAGTAATAGCATTGTGCCAGGAGGAATGGCCGGCGATGACTGGATGGCGGGGGTGGCCCTGTGAAGGATCCTTTGTCCAAAAGAAATGAACTTTACTATGACATGCTCTGGAAGATGAAGAACCTTGTCAAGTGGATTTTTGGTGTGTATGAGACAATTGGGCATATGACCGCCATAAAGAAGGTGGTTGGAAAAGTTCACAGAGACCCTGGGTTATGACTCTAGCTGCAGCAGTCATGAGGGATCCAACAGATGTGCACCCTGTACACCCCCCTCTCCGCTTTCTTCTAACCCATCTTTTGCTACTGCTTCTGCCACTCCTCCAGCTACTGCTTCAGCTAATGTTCTTCCAAATCCAGCTGTGATGCAGCCTGTAGCAGGGGGAACTAACACTCCTCCAGTACTGCATGTATTTACTAATCGACTCTGGAATCCAGGAGATTTAGCTGTGTGTGGGAGTAAAATGCCTAGATTGAGTGGGGGTGCGGATCGGTGTGCCCAATTATTTTCAAACATTTGTACTGGATATAATCCATCATGGGGGATACTCAAATTTTATTGAAGGAGTTATTTCGAGCTGATGAGAG